ACCGGACTCTGAACCCAGCGTCTGGTCACTCTGTGAACCCCTATCTTTTCTATATAGGGCGTCGGTGGCACTGTCGGACTGTCCGCACTCTATGGGCGGACACTCCATCAGTGAAGTTTCTAACCCTTGCTCAAATGTGCCAACCACCAAGTGTATCACCTTGTGCACATGTGTTAGCATATTTTCACAAGCATTTTCAAGGGTGTTAGCACTTCACTAGATCCTAAATGCATATGCAATGAGTTAGAGCATCTAGTGGCACTTTGATAACTGCATTTCAATACGAGTTTCACTCCTCTTAATAGTATGGCTATCTAACCTAAATGTGATCACACTCGCTAAGTGTCTTGATCACCGAAACAAAATGGCTCCTACTATTTATAACTTTGCTTTGAGCCTTTTGTTTTTCTCTTTCTTCTTTTCAAGTTCAAGCATTTGAGCATCACCATGCCATCACCATCGTCATGATCTTCGCCATTGCTTCATCACTTGGAGTAGTGCTACCTATCTCATGATCACTTTGATAAATTAGGTTAGCACTTAGGGTTTCATCAATTAACCAAAACCAAACTAGAGCTTTTAGAGGGTCAGGGCGTACGATGAATAGGGAGCCGAGGCGTCCCTCGATGATGCCATGGACTAGCTAGATGAAGCACGCGACATTGCCCTCCTCCGCTCGACCAAGTACCAGCAAGCGTTGTGCCGGTAGCACAGCCGTCGAGTGTGGGGTCGGGCCTTCAATGTTGGGGACCTAGTGCTCCGCTTCGTCCAGAGCAACAAGAACTACCACAAGCTCTCTCCGCCTAGGAGGGACCGTACATCGTCGCGGAGGTGCTTCGACCAGGCACCTATAAGCTCAAGACAATCAACGGCGAAGTCTTTGTCAATGCCTGAAATATCAAACAGCTACGTCGCTTTTACCCTTAATCTACGCACGCTTTCTCTTATCAGTTTCGCTATCGACTCCTCGATCTTTAGTGACACCCGACCCTAGCAACGGCAAGGGGTCGGGCCTCACTCGGGGGATGATAAGAACATATCTATCTAGTAGACATTCTCTATGCCCGACCCTTTCTCACGTTAAGATCTAGAAGCAAGGGTTGCGGAAACAAACGCTGAATAAAACTGGTCGGACCGCAAGAAACCTATGCCCCAGCGGCTACGGCGTTTTTGCTCACCAGCGTGATCAGAGTTTTTGTCCGCACCCCGAGCTTTTTAGCCTTAACTACGTAAAGAGTCAAAACACATTAAAGAGAATATCTATCCGGTAGACATTCTCTATGCCTGACCCTTTCTCATGTTAAGATCTAGAAGCATGGGTTGCGGAAACAAACGCTGAGTAAAACTGGTCGAACCGCAAGAAACCTACGCCCCATCGGCTATGGCGTTTTTGCTCACCAGCGTGATCAGAGTTTTTTGCCCGTACCCCGAGCTTTTTAGCCTTAACCACGGAAAGACTCGGAACGCATTAAATAGTATATCTACCTAGCAAACATTCTCTGTGTCTGACCCTTTCTCACGTTAAGATCTAGAAGCAAGGGTTGCGGAAACGAACGCTGAGTAAAACTGGTCAGACTGTAGGAAACCTACGCCAAAGCGGCTATGGCGTTTTTGCTTACCAACATGATCAGAGTTTTTTCACCCGCACCCCGAGCTTTATAGCCTTAACAACGGAAAGGATCAGAACGCGTTAACCTTTTTATATAAAAAGGGGAGATGAGCTAAAAATCTGTTTGGCCATATCAAAATTTAAGAGCTTATCCACTTATTACAAGTTCGCCGCCTGGCTTATCTACCTAACTAATTTCTTGGGGGGATGATCTCATCCTCTATCTTGGTAGGTAAGTCTTGTGCCAGAGGGGCCACCTCCTTCTCGATGTCGTCTAGCTTGGCGTCGGTGTAGACAGGCGCGAGAACTGTCACAAGTAAGGAGGGATATGGAGCTAAAAACGCTCCTACGGCCCAGTCAGGCCCAAGAGTTCGAAGGCTAGCCCTCCGACGGGTTCACAGCCGCTCCAGGGCATCCTTAGAGTAAGGGGTGGAAGAGGATGGGCCCACTAGCGGCCAGTACCCGGGCGCATGAGCGCCGCGGGCATCCCAGCCCACGTTTGAGTCTTGATCGGTTCCCAGTTAATGGTTTTTCCTCGAAGAAAGGCAACGAGCCCTTGGGACCGGTCGAATGGACTCGAGAACTATATGGATTGGCCACTGAGAATCTGGAGTCGGTCACCAGCTGACCCATGCTGGACCCCCGCAAACGGAAAGCTGGGGCCCAATCGGACTAGCCCGTTAACAGCTCACTAAGCACCATGTTTCATCCATCGAGGAAAAACGTGGCATGGCTCAGCCCCTCCATTTTATCGAAAAAAACGCTTGAGGGATGACGATCATAAAGATGAGCCGACCCTCGATCGGACCCCTACTACGCGTGGGGGCTCGAGGGAAGTTGGACTCGCAAGGAGACCGAACGCACGGTCGTAGGACGACGGCGGACCGATCGGATCCTAGGGGACTAGAATTAAGAAAAATCTTTCCGACCTCCCGAATTCTACGGTTACATGCCCCAAGAAGACCGATCGCAACAAAAGGGAATTGCCATCCTACCAGGACACGCCACGGGCTACAAAAAGAAGGCCAAGGCCCTTAGAGTCCTCCCATCCAGAAAAGCCTCCAAAGGAGTATTCTACTCCTCCGCAGGCTTGGGGGCTACTGTCGAGTATCGATATTAGGGATACCCAAAGCAAGGAAGTTAGCACCCACGCTGACTTCCCTCATGGCTTGAGACGTATTAAAAGGTCTCGCCCGACCCCAAGGTCGTGGGCTCCGTCTCGCCCGACCTCGAGGCCGCGGGCTCCGTCTCGCCCGACCCCAAGGACACGGGTTCCGTGACGCCCAAGGTTGCGGGCTCCGTCTCATCCGACCTTAAGGCCACGGGCTCCGTCTCGCCCGACCCCAAGGACACGGGTTCCGTCTCGCCCAAGGCCACGGGCTCCATCTCGCCCGATCCCAAGGACGCGGGTTCCATCTCGCCCAACCTCGAGGCCGCGGGCTCCATCTTGCCCGACCTCGAGGACGCAGGTTCCATCTCATCCGGTAGGGACCCATACCACCGCCAACCACTCAAGGTCCAAGCGTATGGGCCTGGGTCAAAACTCTGACCCCAGAGAAGAGGCTGACATGCCTTGATGTAACCCGTGGCCATGACAGACCATATCTGGGGATTCACATCAAGAATAGTGCCGGGCGTGCCGGTGCTGTTCTGCCTAATCCTCGTACGGACGCTGACAAACGCATCAGTTCACCACGACGTCCGCCGAGACGGAGTGGAACGCCATGACTTGCAGATGACGCATGCGCATGGCGCCAGTGATGAACAGGGCCGTGACATGGAGCCGTCCATGTTGATATCTACAGGATCGGCGAGGCCTATATGAAGGAGAAGAAAGACCCGGCAACCCTGGAAGCCTTCTTCTCTCTTGTTCTTCTCCTTTTCCTCCTCTGTAACCCGTGCTTTCCCTTCGGCTATAAAAGGGGAAGTAGGGTGTCCCATGAAACGGAGGATCTGGACACAAGAGCACGGCACGAGCACACGGCTGAGCGGCATGCGAGCTCTCAGCATCCGTTCACTCCTTCCACCAGAGACTTGGGATCCTCTCCCTCTCTCGCCTGTTTTGTAACCCCTACTGCAAACCAAGTGCCGGTAACACGAGCAGTAGCGAACTGGACGTATGGACGTTTCGCCCGAACCAGTATAAACCCTTGTGTCCTCCGAGCACACCATCCGAGCCAGACGTGCAAATATAAATTTACTCGTCGGTGCTCCGAAAACACGACAACCCCTGTTTGCCAAAGAAACACGTCTCAAGTTGGGTTTTTCGCCGAGTTTTATCTGATGTGGCCGCCGGCTCCGGGCACCCAACGATCCCAATCGTCACCTTGCCTCTCCTTGCTTGAATCCCTAACATTCATTGTAAATAAAAAAAGACCCCTAACGCCCATATAGCCGCTGTGGTGTGATCTCATGCTCTCACCATGGCTGCCTCCTATCCTCCCCAGAAGTGACCAAGGGAAGGGACTTTTCTACATGCATAGTTTTCTCCATGTATTTAGATATACGCTATGTTTAGAGATATAATAAAATCATCGTATCTAGAATTCTAGAAAAGCTAAAACGTCTTATAATTTAGAAGAATAGAGAGAGTACATTTAACTTTTATTTGCCTCCTTAGATCTTTTCCTTTGTTACATACGTTCAACTTTTTAAGTCCTTGGAAGCGTTACTCGTTATTGCATTTTAGAAAATTTCAAACTTATACTTCCTCCATCCAAGAATGATGAAAGTATTTAAGTAGAGGAAAAATCAAATCTTATAAACTTTGATAAAAAAAATAGGGCTTCTTGGAACACAAGAATTATTTCATTTTCACAGGAAAAAAATCTCACGTGCTAAAGAGAGTCTTTGTCAAATTATATGCATGTTTTTAGCATTTAACTACTACATTATAAGAGAAATTAATCGTCAAAATCTATTTAATATGACTTTTCAACTGGTGGTCAAATACACTTTACCATTTCTAGACGGAATATTTATACATGGAAAAAATTTGCTCCAGGTCAACGTGATTTGGCTTATAAGGGCAAACCAAAATCACACTTTATATGCTGACATGCGTGATTGCAACTAAAATACCTCATGCGGGCAGATCAGGATTCAACAATATATCACATTAACACCAGCCACATGTTTCAAACTTCTCACTGCATCGTCAGAAGTATTTTACCCAACACAATCAACATCTCGAACTAAAATTTCGGAATTTGGGAACATTTCATCCCAACAGGACAGTTGTAGCATAATACAGGCTCCTATGCAACCAGGGAATAAAACTGAGCCATCTAGTTCTCACAGGTTACATGCCAAGAACGATAAAATTACAATTTTCTCAATGAGTCGACATGCAATTTTGAGAGGAACCATCAATTCGTGCAAAAAAATAATATCAACTCCTGTTAAACGTTTGCTGTGAGCCTGATGGAGGTTGTGTCGGCGGAGGTGGGGGAAGTGACATCTGCATTTGCATTGGCATAGGCATCTGTGCTAGAATACCCCTTCCATCACCTCTATCAGGCATGCCTGTATTGATGGAGCCATCAGGCATGCCCCCAAAACCAGCTTGCATGAAGGCAAGGCCACCACCACCCTGAGGATCACCCACACCATCAGCCATTCCCTGACCAAGGGCCATCGACTGAAATGGCATCAGCCCCATAGCCCACGGGCGCTGAAGCCCCTCAGGGAAGCTCATAGGACCAGCTGGAGGCTGGACACTTGGCATGGAACCTTGGTCTGATCCAGTATCTGGTAGCTGCATCTGGAAAGGGGCAGAAAAGTACTGAGGGTTTCCATCTTGCTGGAGAGGGTAATTGAAAGGTGCATTGGGGATCAAAGGCTGATTCATATTCATAGGCATCATAAAGTTTCCCTGGTGAGGAGGAATCGGCGGAAACATATAAGGTGCATTAGCCATCAATTGCTGCTTGTCCTGAGTACTGTGGTCAGATTCTTGGCGAAGTGGAGTCGCCGCACCTGGGCTCTCCTGCCGTGATTGAGAAGCCCAGTTGTAGGGCCGGTCGAATCCTTGAGGTGGATTGTTCTCAGCCTGAGTATCCCCTGGTGGGTACGAGTGGCGACCATGGAATGAAGGTGGTTTTGAAAGGGTTGGGGGCCTCAGTGGTGTTTGCTCCCTGGACTGGTGGTAGCGGGAGCGTTCTTCACGATCTTGTGAAACACCTGACCTTGGAGGAGCACGTGCAGTAGACATTTCAGGCATTTGAGATTGTCTTTGAGTATCCCCTGCAGAAGCACGGGAGATGTTAGCAGCATCTGACTCATTGCGTTCTTCTTCCTTCTCTTGATTAGTTTGGAGGAGGTTGGCATGGACATCGGGCACATGAAACTCAAAATCTGCTTTCTTAAGGAACGACTTGAGACACATCGGTGCAGCACAGATGAAAATCCCTTCCATCATTTTGACACTCTGTATCTTCTGAATGCGCTCATCACAACTGCAGAGGTAAACAGAAGTTTAAATTGATAGACTTAGACCAAGAAGAAGTGCGGAACTCTAAAAGAGAAACAAAGCAGCTGTCTACATTAAATAAGGATTGAAATTACAACATTTCCAGAGACACTCCCCTTGGATTGCCTGCCCAACAGTTAATTATGTATCCAAGGGTACATTGGTATCATGAGAGTTTCAGTACAGAATATGTCAATTTTTAACCAATATTCAGATTATGAATCCGAATGAACAGAATATCTCATATGTGTACACAACAACAAACTTAGGATAGAAAATGATTTAAACAGTACCACACTATTGCAAACATCTGCCCATTGATTGAAATGAAATATCATAAGAGAAGCAAGAACAATCAGTCAAGGCTCAGATTTCGTATAACAGACCAATTTACTAGGGCAAGCACCATCATGTCTTGCACTCTTGTTGATAAATCAATGAAATAATGTATGCTACCTATCATGAACTAAGCTGACAACAAGATAATAGTAGGTTAGAGAAACCTGGGAGTTAGAATGCTTACAGATAGCAGCTGGAATCACTTCTTGCACAGGTTAAACAGAAAGCATGTTCACAAGGGATCTGAAACCAACAAAAAGCTCATCAAATTACTATAGGGTCCAACTGTTTATATTATCAGAAAAGAAACTATAGAGTGAATGGCCACATGTAGCACTTATTCAGGGAACAGGTAAAACCACATGAACATAAAATACAGAATATACTGAAACAACACATTAAAAAAATATGATTCCAGACTATTACATACTATGTATGTAGCACGAATATGCGAGAACACCCTCATATCCTGTATTGGATACGTATCTGTTATGGACACGTGCAGGATGCAGCCACAATAAGTACCCGTGGACTATCGGGAAAAATAAATAAATATATGAATATCAGATACTTGGGCTTATACATATCAGCCCATCTATTCCTCTGTTGGATATGGCCCAGCCCAGTTAACAGATCGGTATTTGAAGGCAATTGCTACTCGCTCAGGTCATTCCCTGCCCTGGACGCCACAGCAACACGTGGGCGCACAGCTGCACCACCTCCCTGTCACTCAACTCCAGCAGTGGTGACTCCCGGTGGCCAGCAACAGTGAGGTGAGTTCCTTTCCTCTGCGCTAACTATGCCCACAGCGACAGCCACGGTGAGCCAGTGACGCACGCTACCCACAAGCCTGCCTGTGGGCAACCACGCAACGTGCGCCCCCGTGGTGGGCTGGTGGCACATCAGATCAGCAGCGACTTGGCAGTCAGTTTCTTACTCTCCTCCCATGACCTTCCCTGAATCCAGTAGTTGCTAGTGAGTTAATAGAATCAATTAGTGCTACTGATAGCTGATCTAGTGTTCTTCTAGCTTGATTTTTCCCAGACTCTGATTAGATGGCAGCAATAATTGGGGGATGAAGCATATGAGGATGAAGCAGCAGCCTGAGTTGCAAGCTGCACTTCCTAGTTGTCTAGGTATCAACTATCATGTAAGGAACTGGATCGATTTCCTCCAAGCCTCAAAGGTGTACTTGTATCCTCCCTAAAGTTTTCACACGAAGCACTTGGGACTTTTTATCTTATAATATAAGACTTATACATTCTTATCTGGCTTTTGCAAGTCATTAGGAGAATTGGATCATGGAGTTTTTGTGATGCTCGATTTGTTATTAGCTTTTAAAATTTTAATGTGTCCTATAATTTATTTAAAAGTTTATATACATGAAAACCTATCCTCATATCGACTTTTTTGGGGAACATGGCATATCCATGTATCCTGTATTTGTGCTACAAAGTTCATGCATGAAGGCCGTTTAACTTGCTTGAAGTACTTCAACCAAACAAAAAAAGGGCAACAAATAAACTAGATATGACTAGTTCAAACTTAAAAGCCACAGTAGCAACTGAAGCCAGAAGCTTATTTCATGATGCAATCGAGGTGAAACTGTGAGTAGTCTATTTATCAATTCCTTAGGTTAGTACCACCAACAAGCAAATCCTGTGTGATCCATTAAAACAAACAGATGTACTAGCATTGTAAGAGAACAGCAATACTGCCTTCATTCAATCGCTAGCCAGTAGATCTTAGCTTCCCTTGACTGCTTGCCATGAACAAAACGAGATAACATTGGCTCTCCTTACAATGGAATCGCTAGAACACTGAGGCAATAGCCAATCCCACAGAGCTACTACAAATTATATGTATTGGTATTTTTGTCCAACTCTCAGAAATCCAACACTGTAAACAGGGAGCATAAAACAAAGATGATGCACATCCGCTGCTCCATTTTCACTTATGACATCAACAGAGGAAGAATAGAGTTGGTGGCAGTAAATGGCTAAACAACACACGCGGTTGACTAAACCTCTAATTTCCTTAGCAGCAACACGAGCTGAACAAGTTCGCGGTTTGATAGCCGCATAAAAAAATATATATAGGGTTTAGCAAGTCCGTACGAGGCGGCCGTAGATGGCGATGGGGAACTCGCAGCGGGAGCAGATGTGGACGCGCTCCCCGAGCGGGCGACGGGAGCGACGGCCGATGGAGCGCGGGGCGGCGGCAGCGGAGGTCGTGACGGCACCGAGGCTCTTCGCGACGGGGAGGTCCGCGATCACCAGGTGGTCGGGGCATGCCACGGTGACCGATTCCGGGATGCCGCCACCCAGCGCCGCAGCCGCCCCCACCGCGGCGTAGGCACCGGCGGCGGCTGCCGAGCCGGTGGCGGTAGCGCCGGAGTCTGACGAGCCAATCTTGCTCAGGCGGATCTGCAGCATCGTTAGGGTTTCTAGTTTTTTCTCTCTCCTTTCCCGGGCTGGGTTTGGTTTATTTGCTCCTTTCTCGGGCTGGGTTTCGGCCTGCTTCAGCCAGTGCTCGGGGAATACATGGTTGCCCTGCTGCGTGCCTGCCTGGCTTCCGGATGGATTTTTTTAACACTTTTTTAAACTAATTTAAAATCTAACACTGTTTTAATTTTATTTTCAAAACTAACACTTTTTGTCGTGCCTATTTTCCTGGCGCGGCGAAACGCCCGTGTCGCGCCATGCATGGTGACGCGGCAAGAGGCATGACGTGGCGACGATCGGGTCGCTGACCGGTGATTTAGCGAGGTCTCGCCACGCCCCGATCTTGGCGCCGGCAAAGGACGTACATCACGGCGCATGGCGCGGCAAGGAGGGGATGATTTGACGCGGCGGTATCACCGAAGATGCCGCCATCATGAAACGACGAGGCACCAAAGACCACTTTTCGGCCCCGGCTTAGCTAGCTAGGTTACTTGTGCAAGTGCAAGCGTTAGGGTCACCACTAGCACTCTAGCGGGTTCATCCGTCGCATAGCGTTTGTTGTGTGTGTGCTGTGTACGCACGCCGCGTGGCGGGTGATCGAGCGACGTGACGTGGTCGAGTCTAGGGAGGCCCCGTCTTGACGGCGAGCCGGAGCGTCGCGTCACAGTAGCTAGTCTACCGGGTTAGGCAACTAGTCGCTTTATTAGTCTCGACTCTCGTGATCGTGAAGCTTCGATCAATCGCTCGGATTGGGATAGCTACCACCAGTCGGGCTGATTTGATGTGAGCCACGAGATTTATTACCTACCGGTGATAATCGAACGGGGCCAACGGGATCATCATCATGCGAGTTTGAAAGCCGTGAGTGCAGGTGCACGCACAACTCTCAATCTGTCTTTGGTGGGACACTCGTGTTCTCACGCGTGCGTGTACCCTATTTTTTTAGATTTTTTTTAAAAAAAGGTACGAACACCTAGGTTTAAATCCTGGTGGGTAGCATCCCACAAGACTATCCTACCACTATACCATAGGCCCATTCACTATAGTATAGTTTTTCCACTGTAGAAAATATGTGGGCAGTCTGAGCCTAACCAACTTTACCCGTAGGATGGTCGTGGACATGATTTTTCTAGGCCGAAAACAACTCCCCTTTTTTCAGCTCAGCCCGGCCCGGTCCAAAGTCCAAAAAAGATGCACGGGCCGTTGGGTTTGGTATTTTCGGGCTTGGTCGGGTTTGCCGGGCCGGGCTATTGCGACAAGCCTGCTGGAGAGCCCCTCAATCTCTTATTTGCGTGTGTACACCCCCTCAATCACTTGTGTACTCCGTAGCACTCAAGCACTGTGATCTGTTGATCCAAGCGCAATTGAGGCATACAGTATTGACGGCCTCACATAAAAGTTATCATCCACGTCGGATTAGATGCACTCAACCTAAGGTTTAAGTATGCAGCCTCACCACAATAAAAAAAAAGTGCATGTGACGACCTGCAAAAAGCACGGTTTTGAAACATGGCACGTCTAGGCCTCCATCTGGTTGCCATCAACTGCACCTGCAGCCATAGGGAGCTACACTGCTTCAACATTTGTAATTTATGAAAATTTGAATGGCCATATCTTCTAAGCAGTTTATCAATTTTGTGATATGTGTGTACTATAATATCCCTTGCAATTAAATTTATAAAACAAAACTCATATTGACTATTATTTTTACACTAAAAAAAGTTGCACATGAGCCCCACATTTGAAAACTTTGTTAAAACGTTTCCTTGTTGGATCTTATTTTGTTTGGCACATTATTTCCAGCAATAATCTTTAAATGATTTATAAAATGGACTTTTGGTTTATGAGATATTGCATTTTGAAAGTCTGAGAAAATCCACTGTTAAGTGACGCTAGGGGAAAGAGAGGTGAGAGAAATGTGAGAGAGGAGAGATGCTGCTGCTTGGTGAGTGGTGAGAGGAGAGATGCTACTGCACTCCACCGCGCTGCTGCCTTCTGCTGCACTGTGCAGGCTTTACCCGATTCAAATCAGATGCTCCTTGAAAACCAAAGCCAGGTAGTACACTGCTTGGTGAGTGGTTGTGTAAATTCAGACCGGTAACCAGCTGACAAGAGCCGAATTTGAAGCCAAAGCATTCCTCGCGCCGGAGCCCGGAGCTGCTACTTGCCTACGTCATCAATATTATGGAGTGTGGGCGGCATGGCGGGTGGAGGCATGGTGCAGCTGCTGCATCCGATATTTTTGGGGACGAAAATCGATGAGGCAGGGCCCACAGCTTGCCTACGTCATCACTAATTTATAGTGGTTTTGATCAGCTGGAAGGGTTTTTGGTTGGATTTCACCTGAGGGAACAAGCCCTAAGTGTAAATCTGTTTTTTTATTTATTTTACTGCAGCAATATTTCTGTCCATTTAAAAAAATCTAAAATTTGTTTTGTAATTGAGATGCACAAATGTAGTGCATATAAATTACTTTTATATTCGCTCATACAACATGGGTGTCTCCCAAAAATAATTTTATAATTTAAAAACAATTTAGCACATGTCACAACACAATCCATGTGGGATCTTGTCTTGTACACGGCACACACACAGCAAACTGCTATGCGACGGATGAACCTGCTAGAGTGCTAGTGGTGACCCTGAGGCTTGCACTTGCACAAGTAACCTAGCTAGCTAGGCCGGGGCCGGGGGGCTGGTGCTGGTGCCTCGTCGTTTCATGATGGCGGCATCTTCGGTGATACTGTCGCGTCAAATCATCCCCTCCTTGCCACGTCATGCGTCGTGGCGCGTCACTGCCACGCTAAGATTGTTGGCGCGGCAGACCCTGCCACGTCACCGGTCAGCGAACCGATCGTCGCCACATCATGCCTCTTGCCACGCCACCATGCATGGCGCGGCGCAGGCGTTTTGCCGCGCCAGGGAAATAGGCGCGGGCCAAAAGTGTTAGTTTTGGAAATAAAATTTAAACAGTATTAGATTTCAAATTAGTTTACAAAGTGTTAAAAATAAAAAAATATTGGGATGCAGTTTAAGGGTGTTTGGTTCCTAGAGTCCTCTATGAGCCTGGCCGTCGGCACGTAGGCAAGGGTCCAGAGCCAAGCTCCTAAAAATAGATTTCGATTCTGTTTTTTCGCAGCCTGGCTCACATGGCCGGCGATGGCGTGCGCGCGGGAGCGCGGACGATTCACGCGGGAAGGCTAGGGGTACCGTGTAACACCCTCGGTGTTACCCCATTAATCATCTACTAAAATATGTCATGAATATCATACTTGTATGTTAATACATGTGGTGAAGTGTATAGATTAATTTCTGTAACTCAAAATGATCAATAAAAATGATAAACGAAAGTTCGTTCGATGGTTCATGCATATGAAGTAGGGTTTAAAACCAATTTTTATTAAGCAAAAATACTATAGACCATGTGTGTGATACTTAAATAAAGTTGGAAGTGCAAACTTTGTAGATGACAATGAAATACTTACTGTTGAAAAAAGAATATTGCTAAGTAATATTTTCAGTAGCTTAGAAATGCAATATGAAATTAAGATTAGCTCAAAAGCTTAAAAAATTTCTAAGTCTGTGGACAGCTAGACGCTGCTATGTTTAGCAATTTATTTGGAGAGATTGGGTTAAGAAGTGGTGTAGTGCTATGATTCGATTTAGTAGTTCCATATGCCATCTTGAATGTAGTGAAGCCGGTTTACATTTAGGAGCAACGGTTTGATCATGATCGGCACTTTAAAATTCATGCACATCACAGCTTTGTGCTGTCTGGCGCCGTGCCCGTGGTCACAACACGTGGCCGACCCGCGTCGCCGCACATTTGTGACATGCGCGGTCGTGTCCTTGCCGTAGCTTGGCCGCTCTGGCCGCACCACTAGGCCACCGGTCCGCTCTACGCCCGACCGCCCCTGCCATCGTGGCTACCGCTGGTGCTGCTGCAGCCTCCGCGCCCGCGCCACGACGACGCCGTTGCCGCCACCGTCGCATCACCACGCTACGCGCCTATAGCTGCGCTACGTCGTTGGCCCGCCTTGTCACTGCACGCACGTGGCCGTGTCGCCGTCGCCTTGCCATTGATGGCACTGCGGCACGCAGGCCATGCCGGTTGTGAGCGTGTGTGTTTGTCGGCTAGTGTCGGGCCATGGGCTACGCCGGTCATGCCAACCGCGTCCCGCCAAGGTACGCCCTTGCCGAGTCGCTGGCTGCCCCTCCCCCACCACTCCATCGCTCTCTCTCTTTGTTCTCGTCTCTCTGCCGTCGTCGAATCGCACCAGCGCCACAGCTGCGAGGGGTCACCTCTCATCAATCCCTCATATTCGCGCCTCTGCCCTTACATCCCCTCTCAAGCCGCCCCTACCCCGGTTTGATTGCGGCTCAGCCGAGCCTCAATTTTGGAGCTTCGACCCGCCAATGCGACGTTAAGACCCATCACCGCCCGTGCCATGGCTAGCCTCCACTACTTCACCCCACGTAAATTCCTCTGCACCACTAGCTCGCCTTGGCTCCCTCTCCACTATGTGCACGCTAGTGGGAGGGCTACCACGTCCCCACCACCGCTGATGCGGCCGTGTCCACTATGGCTCGTCGCCATGCTCATCGCACACACGCGGTCAGCCCTGCTCAGGTAGTCGCCGGCCGAACCACCACTTCGGCTAGGTTCACGGTAACCCTGGGCGTCTGGTTAACCAAAACCGATCGGTTCGGTTCTTCGGTTCTTCAGCTAATTCTGTTACTTGAGAAGATGTGACCGATCGGTTACTTTGAAAATGCGGAACCGAGGAATTTCGGTTTCGAGTAATTTGATTCGGTTTCGGTTCTACCTGATGGAACCAAAATTTTCAGGAACCAAGAAACAACCCATTCAATTGCAAATTTTGGCAGCATTTTGTCTGATTTCATGCAGTCAAAAGGGACAATTTAAACAGCAATGCAGCATAAAACAATAGTACAACACATATATGTTATTGTTCTCTCAAATATTCAAG